ACATCAGTAACATGCACTTTCTGTTGTAGGTAGCACTAGCAGTGATGTGACATCAGTAACATGCACTTTCTGTTGTAGGTAGCACTAGCAGTGATGTGACATCAGTAACATGCACTTTCTGTTGTAGGTAGCACTAGCAGTGATGTAACATCAGTAACATGCACTTTCTGTTGTAGGTAGCACTAGCAGTGATGTAACATCAGTAACATGCACTTTCTGTTGTAGGTAGCACTAGCAGTGATGTAACATCAGTAATATGCACTTTCTGTTGTAGGTAGCACTAGCAGTGATGTGACATCAGTAACATGCACTTTCTGTTGTAGGTAGCACTAGCAGTGATGTGACATCAGTAACATGCACTTTCTGTTGTAGGTAGCACTAGCAGTGATGTGACATCAGTAACATGAAAAGGAGAGTAAAACATAACTAAGTCAAACATAAAACATCAATGAGGAAAAGTCAGTGCCAAACAATTAAAATGTAAACTTTAGACTTGAAGTGCAATCAAAGACTTTTAACTGAACATCTGTTTCAAAAGGGAAAAAACAATATAAATACCTTATTGATCAAATTAAATATAAGCCAACAGAATCAACCAAGACAATAAATGAAGTGTCCGAATCCTGACTAGACAGCTTTAGAGCATGTCTTTCACATCAGTTCTGTTTTGTTATAGTTTTGGGCACAGTCTGGGCACCTGGTACCGTGGGTCAACTGTTTTCATCAGCCTCACCAAACCTTTGTTTTCCACGCTCTTTATTGGATGCATATCCTTGGCCACATAAAACGCCACCGCGTCAGTTAAGTCTTTCCACCGCTTGCTAGTCTTTTCATAAGGAGCCCCTTTATCAAATGCCTGCGTTATGGTGGCTTGTTTTGGTCGTACTTGTGCAGTCGCTGCGGGGGACCTTGCACTCTTGCAGACTCTGCATACTCTTTCTGGTGCTTGCGTTTGAGGTGGTCTCGTAAGCCCGACGTGTTGCCATCTGTCGCTTTCACATTTTCTTTTTTGCACATTTTGCAAATTACGTTTGTTTGTCTGTTGTGTAAAATCCAAAATAGTTCCATACCACAGACCAGGGGCATCGCCTGGACCTGAAAACATTCGGGGCTTAGCCCACAGTGGCGGCGGCACTACAGTGGCATTTTTTACTGCAACACTCCCCACGCACACACACAGTACACCCGCGACTGTTACAATGAAGGCTCGATAATCAGCTCACGGCATATATGCAGGGGTAAAGTGGTATTTTTTATGAGTGGGGGGCTCACCTCCTCTAGGGGGGTCCGGGGGGATGCTTCCCCCGGGAAGATTTTTTTTTTAAATATTGAAGTTAAAAGCATCAATCTGGTGCACTTTGAGAGCAACATGAAGAGATCTATGGATACCTCTCTCAACACCCATATGAAGCAGAACTGTAAACAGATGTACTTTTTCTTTATGGATATTTTACTAATCACTCCCCTTTTAAACTCTATTCTTGTTTTACTGTCATATAGTATTTCATAACTGTTTTTAATTTATTCTCTTATTTTTAATAACTATAATGATCATATGAAGGTGTGCCGCGGAAATAATCTTTTGAATAATTTGTGACCAAACCGTTTGAGACCCACTGAGATAACTTAGACTAAAGTTAACTATCTAAACACTCAGAGAGTCCTTTAGCTCACCTGAGTCTCTCAGTCTGAGAGGAGAGGACTCTCCTCCAGCTTCTTGTGGAACAAACAGCTCCTTATGTCCGTTAGTGCAGCTAGCTAACAAGATGCTAACAACACGGTCCCTGCTGGCACCTCCCTCCCTCCCCCTCTCCCCCCTCTCTCCCTCTCTCCCTCTCTCCCTCCCCCTCTCTCTCTCTCTCTATCACACTAAATGCGCTATTGCCACACACACACACAGAGCCGAGCTTGAATGACACAAGCACACGTTTATTTCCATGCAACTCTCTGATTGGTCTGGTGTCATGCCTCTGTTGCATTCACTGAACACGGGAAATTACAGTGCTGCCGTCCTCTCTTGTGTCATGATGAGGTTCACGTAAAGCACGGTTAATGTATTATATTATTGAGGGAGAATTGTCCGGGGCTACAGAAAAAACATTCGGGGCTAAAGCCCCGGATGCCCAGGCCAGGCGACGCCACTGCCACAGACGTAGAGTTCTTTTTGGGGACTAATTCTTCTACATCTGAATCTGACTCTCCGTCCATTATTGCTGTGTGTGCAGACTGCCAACAGTGTCGTTTCCCTCGCTGCCAAGAAGAAAGGGGGCGGGGACTTTGGGAGCGTGTGATCAACACAACAGACCTTCAAGCAAGCAATGAGGTCATTGTGGTGCGGTCGAGACGCGTTGTTAGCTTGTAGACGAAACCGTCGTACTACAGAAGTATAAATTAAGGTATAGAACTGCAAATCATAGAATGTGCACTCTCAGTGAGTGCACATTCTATGACTGAGGGACTCTCTGTATCACGATAGATATGATATCTCTGAAAAGGCATATCGTGGAGACCTAATATCGTCTCCACGATATATATTGTCATATCGCCCACCCCTACTTGAACTAACCACAGACACCACGAATATACAGGGATACAGTTCTGTGTGTGTGTGTGTGTGTGTGTGTGTGTGTGTGTGTGTGTACCACAGGGCTCTCCATGATGCCTTTAAGGTAGATCAGGTCCAGGTCGTTGGCCGTGGTGGAGCTGGTGGTGGTGTCACTCATCGCATCCAACACCTGAGACCCTGTAACACACACACACACACACACACACACACACACACACACACACACACACACACACACACACACCACACACACACACACACACACACACCACAACACACACACACACACACACACACACACACACACACACACACACACACACACACACACACACACACACCACACACACACACACACACCACACACACACACACACACACACATTAGTACACAATATTATCCCTGATAGTGAAGGTGATGAAGAGGAGGGGTGAAGGTGATGAAGAGGAGGGTCTTCTCACCAGGCTCTGTCCTGGTTGAGGCCACAGGCATTGCTTCAGTCAGTCTGATGAAGAGAGAGAGAGAGAGAGAGAGAGAGAGAGAGAGAGTCACATGATCATCTTTACACAGGGAGTTTACACACACACACACACACACACACACACACACACACACACACACACACACACACACACACACACACACACACACACACACACACACACACACACACACACACACACACACACACACACACACACACACACACACACACACACACACACACACACACACACACACTCTCTAAAGGAGGGGGGGGCGTGACTAATCTATACATCTCCATGCCAACAGCACCATACAATAGAGATTTGGGAGCAGGAGAACAAAGAGACAGCATTTTTTTTAAACTTCTTAAATAAATGTATTAAAAAATCTCTGCAGTTTGAACATGGATGTAGTTCAGGGGTCGGCAAATAAGTTTGGCCTTGGGCCAATTTTTTTCTGAGCCACTAGATGGCGGGCCGGAACATAATCAAAGGCTAATTTAAGTAATTGATTGTTAAAACATGTGACACGTTCGAATGCTTGGGGGGGGGGGGGGGGCTAGTGAACTGTCAACGGGGGGGGAGCCTCGCTGCGGTGCCGTTGTGTGATTCTCCAGATGGATTGAAGCATTTTACTTTAAAATGTTAACAAAAATCTTCCTGGAGGGGCAGACCCCCGGACCCCCCGAGGATGTGACGACTACCCCCCAATTAAAACATGTTCATAGAATACTAAATACATTTGAAGCCTTTTTGTATAAGCTGTCCACCATGTCAATACGTTTCTCTGTTTGTAGTGTGTTGGTCTTTTGTAGAGGTTTTTCATTGCCAGCTCAAACCTTGCCTATAGGGGCAGCAAACTGGTCTGAACCGGTCCTGGTGTCATCCCCACAGCACCCCCCATTTGAAACCTGTTCCCACGGCTATGATGCTGAGTACAGCCAAACTCCACAGTCTCTTCTCTGTCATTGTAGACCGAATGCTTCTCGTTTTGCGCCGTCCCGTTCAAATGACAATCACATTTCCACGCTCGCGCCAGGGCCGGGGGAGGGGTTACAAGGCTCGCGTCTTGTGCTGCATTCACTTGCACTCGGACATTAGGGATTTTCTCTCATAAATGTCCGATGAGCCAAAACATATGCACCGCCCCTCGCCCTCCATGATCAGGCGGCTTCTCCGATTTTGTTGTCAATGTTTTGACTGAACTTTGTTACTGTTCACATATAAGTAAACATTACGTTTGAATGATTTAGTGAGCTGGTGTTATTTTTTTCAAACCACAAACCACATGTTGGCTATTTCAGCACCACGGACTGTCCAGCTACTTATTGATCCACTATCAGCGTCAGTGCACCCCGCTGCCAGATTGTGCCTGTGCTGTGTGTCATTCACTCTCAACATGGATAAAAGTACAATAAACATTCTTCAGGTGTAGGTAGAATCTCTATTCTGACATTATAGCCTATATGTGCGACTGTCGGTCCGATATTGTAAAAAAGAAATCTCAAAAACATATTTTATTTTTATTCTCAAAATAATTTTCCGGGCCAAATATTATTGCTGGCGGGCCACTAATGGCCATGGGTCGGCCACCTATTGCCGACCCATGATGTAGTGTGTGTGTGTGTGTGTGTGTGTGTGTGTGTGTGTGAGAGGAACACAGGGATTTGAGCCTCTGCAGACCATTTACATGCACTAACACCTATAGAACTGCAGGAGAGGAACAGGGCCTCTTTAAAGGTCCCATGTCATGGCCATTTCTACTGATCATAATTCCATTGTTGAGGTCTACTAGAATAGATTTAAAGGGGACCTATCATGCAAAATGCCCTTGTGTACGTCTTTTCTACATGAATATGTGTCCCTGGTGTTCCAGGGAACTCACCAAGTGTCAGAAAACACAACCCTCTCTATTTTCCTCCATACCCAAATCTCTAAAAAAGGGGCTGCAACGGATCTGATAAAAACTGATCCAGATTTGAACACTGTCCTGACGTCAGGACGGTGGCGCTACGGCTATTGGGCCAACTCCACCAATCAGGAGGAGACAGCCACGGCCATTGCCGTTCGAAAGCGCTGGAGACGCTGTAGTACATATGCCAGGCCTGTAAGTGGCGCTGTAGTCTGCCACAAAAGCAGCGAAGAAGACTTCCCGCCCATAGTTACCATGGTTACCCTTCTGTTTATTCTCCGCTGTGGCTTTCTTTCTCCCTCCCCGAGGCAAGCGTTTGCTCCTGCTGCTTTAATTCAATGCAATCCCTCCCCGTCGAGGCAAGCACTGTAATTCTCTCCGGTTAGTCCACCAGCAGATGACAAACACCCACCTCTCCGCCTCTTCCAAGGAACGAGGGGACCGTGCGGCAGAGTTTCAGTTTCAGTTTCTTTCGCCGGTCAAGATGTCCGTTAAAGTTTAAATCTTCCGGACAAAATGATAAAAGTGCCGGTCAAAGGTCTTCTTTGTTATTTATTGAGCTTTAAAACAAATGAATAACGACTCTATATAATAAAACACGGAGGACGGAGATCTCTTTTTCTCCCCCTCTTCTGACAGCCCAGCAGCTGATCAGAGCACGTCTCCCCTCTCCTGCAGGGGGGCGTGGTCAGCAGAATCAGACCCGTAGACAGCAAACAGCACATAGAGCGAAATGAGGCATGGCTAACATGCATGATCTGTTTGGTATTTTGAAAACAGAAACGTATAAATATACCTTATATAGGTATGGCCCTACAATATATCATTTAAATATAGCATGAGAGGTCCACTTTAAATTGTGCAATGTTCCAAACTCTCATTGGTTTCTCATACAGCATCTCTGTATAGCATGTGTATTCACTCTCTGTCCTAAACGGCTTGTTGGAGCTCCTGCCCCCCCCCCCCCCCTCCCTGTGAGCCCAGTGTGCTCTCATTGGTCGGCTCGTTGCGAGGCTCGATGCTCACTGAGCTGGCTTACTGGTGTGGTTTCCGGGTCGGCGATACAGCGAGACAGCGCAAAGCTCATCCTGAGCACACACAAAGTCACAGCCGAAGTAACAACAATAAGTGTGGCTTGATATTGAGTAAGAAAAAGGTTTATAACGCTGTGAGAATGGGTCTGCGGAGAGAATGGGTCTGCAGAGAGAATGGGTCTGCAGAGAGAATGGGTCTGCAGAGAGAATGGGTCTGTAGAGAGAATGGGTCTGCAGAGAGAATGGGTCTGCAGAGAGAATGGGTCTGCAGAGAGAATGGGTCTGCAGAGAGAATGGGTCTGCAGAGAGAATGGGTCTGTAGAGAGGATGGGTCTGCAGAGAGAATGGGTCTGTAGAGAGAATGGGTCTGTAGAGAGGATGGGTCTGCAGAGAGGATGGGTCTGCAGAGAGAATGGGTCTGCAGAGAGGATGGGTCTGCAGAGAGGATGGGTCTGCAGAGAGAATGGGTCTGCAGAGAGGATGGGTCTGCAGAGAGGATGGGTCTGCAGAGAGGATGGGTCTGCAGAGAGGATTTCTCCACCATCCCAACTCGTCTATTACCAACCAGGGAGCAATGGGCGGGCAGTGAGACTGTTAAAAAATTGAACTGTTGAAACAACTTCAAAACATTCATCTGCTACTCAGTATTATGTATCTAATACCTAATATATATATATATCATTCCAATAACTTGTATATAGACTTGTACTGCACTATTCCACATCATCACTTTATTTTATAACTATTTTTCTTTTTGTATTGCTCTTGCTCTCTGTATTGTTATTATGTTATTATGTTGCATTGTTGGAGAAGCCTGTGACATAAGATTTTCAACTACATAATTACTCTGTAGCTATGTCAGATTGACAATAAAGAACCTTGAACCTTGAACCTTGGGACTCCCTGTTAGTTAGCCAAGGGGTCCTGGTGTGTGAGGAGCTCCAAGGATTGGTCCATTTGGGTTCCAGGAACCACATGACGTCATGCGGTTCCTGGAAGAAACAAATGTAAAATGAGAAATGTCCAACGAGGCGTTCAGGGGCCTCACAGACAGGTCTGCTCTGTGTTAGAGCTTTACTCTCTACAGGGTGCACTTTGAGGGTTAGTGACTCTGCAGACCGGTTACATGCAGAAGCTTCATAACACAAGGGGACGGGTCAGAACCTTTAACCTGTTTCACGCCTTCCCCCCGGTACCGGGCGGATAAACGCGTCATTTGCAGGAAACAACGTCTAAGGAATCTTAATATTGAATAAAACTATGAATGTGTTATATCCATGTAACGGGAAGAAACTCAGCTAACTGATCTTTTTAATTTTTTTTTTCAAAAAAACCCCACAATGCTAGCACTCAGCCTCTGGATTAGCCTCGATCGAAAAAACGGGACCTACTAAGGCACTTAAACTCACTCATAACTCCCTTATTACTTATCCTAGATGCACAACCAAACACTCTTTTTTGGTGTCCTGGAGACACTGAATCTAACGGTGCCCACCTCAACACTCAGTGATAAACATTCGCGACGCTATCAACGAAAGCGTACATCATCACATGTGGAGCAAAGAAGCTAAACATGTAAATATGGCTCACCTTGGTCAAAAGTGGTCTTCAATGGCATTAAAACGATAAAAAAAACGATGCTGCAGTTAATCCATAGGTTCATCCTATGTGTCTGTGCCTTCTTTGAAATTATTTCTGATAATCCATAAGCAATACAACTGCGTTTTAGTTTCCAAACTCCAGAAGGAGACATTCCTCCAGTTTAGTTTCGCTTTCCACACGCGAAGCGGCAACATTTTTTCTTTACAACCTGTCTGGGTGGGAGCCTCCTCCTTCGATTCTATTGGCTCTAACGGTCACAAGGGTATGTCAACCAACCAGATCGAGCAAGGGGGGCCAGAGATAGGTCAAATCCACCCATATGACCCCAGATGGCCCAGTTTTTGGCTAAATCTCTCTAAAAAGGTCAAATTTCACTTGTTTTGCATCAATCTTGATACAGGGTACTTATTATATGTTGTACTTTGGATTCCTAAAGCTTTTAGTCTACTAACCCATCATCCAAGGGTAGTTTTCACTATCTGTAAAAAATAATTTTTGGACGGACACTATAATTTACAGTTTTTTACTATGTAAAATCTGAATTTTCTTTAAAATAAAAAACATTTATATTGATTCTGACACTTCTACATCCAACTCACAGGTTTATCATTACTTTGAGAAAAGATTATTAATTTAACCCTTTTAGAAGGGAAGATATGGTCATTTGTTCTGGGAATGTCATTTTCGAGCCTGAGACCTGAAAAACAGGCTCAGAGTGGAACAGGTTAAGAACTATATTTACTCACGTTTTCTGCAAACTAGTGAATAAAGCATCTGATGATGAATATACTCATGTTTGTTTACACACAAATGTAGTATCACTGAATATCTGTAGTGATGAGCAGTGTATACACAGTACATCCCTATACACACACACACACACACACACACACACACACACACACACACTGCTGTGACCCCCATCTGCTCCCTTTATACTCTCCCTTACTCCCTAATGTCCCCCTCCCTCCATTACTCCTTTATTTATTCCACCTCCCCCCCACCGTCATCCATCTGCTCAGACACTCCAATACACACACACACACACACACACACACACACACACACAAGAAATGTAGATTAAGTTGTGTTGATCTGAAGATATTAAACTTTCCCTAGAGTGTGTGTGTGTGTGTGAGTGAGTCTCTCTCTGTGTGTGTGTGTGTAATATGTGGAGTGTGTGTGTGTGTGTGTGTGTGTGTGAGTGAGTCTGTGTGTGTGTGTGTGTAATATGTGGAGTGTGTGTGTGTGTGTGTGTGTGTGTGTGAGTCTCTCTCTGTGTGTGTGTGTGTAATATGTGGAGTGTGTGTGTGAGTGAGTCTGTGTGTGTGTAATATGTGGTGTGTGTGTGTGTGTGTGTGTGTGTGTGTGAGTCTCTCTCTGTGTGTGTGTGTGTAATATGTGGAGTGTGTGTGTGAGTGAGTCTGTGTGTGTGTGTGTAATATGTGGAGTGTGTGTGTGTGTGAGTGAGTCTGTGTGTGTGTAATATGTGGTGTGTGTGTGTGTGTGTGTGTGTGAGTGAGTCTGTGTGTGTGTGTGTGTAATATGTGGAGTGTGTGTGTGTGTGTGTGTGTAATATGTGGAGTGTGTGTGTGTGTGAGTGAGTCTGTGTGTGTGTGTGTGTGTGTAATATGTGGTGTGTGTGTGGTGTGTGTGTGTGTGTGTGTGTGTAATATGTGGTGTGTGTGTGTGTGTGTGTGTGTGTGTGTGTGTTATAGAGGTTGTTTTTTTTCTCTTTGTTTTCTTACATGTGTGTACCCCCACCTCTCTCTCTCTCTCACTCACACACACACACACACACACACACACACACACACACACACACACCACACACACACACACACACACACACACACACACACACACACACACACACACACACACACACACACACACACACACACACACACACACACACACACACACACACACACACACACACACGGGTCTGCTAATTAGTCTCAACGCTCACCAACAAAGCATCTCACACACACACACACACACACACACACACACACACACACACACACACACACACACACACACACACACACACACACACACACACACACACACACTCATAAAGAAAAGGCTGAATGATAAGCTAAATGCTAAAACACACATTTGGTTTTATATTAAATTCCCCGGATGTTGATGTTATGAGCATTACGCACATTCACGCGCACACACACGCACCATCACCATCACCCAGTGAGCGCGAGCTGCCCCCCGCGCGAGGCAGAGGAATAGAAACAATAGAAATAATAAAGAGATATCGATATAGTCCTCTCCTGATGTCATGATGTGTTGTATCTCTAACCCTAACCCGCTCACCTGTATATCTGTGAGAGAGGCTCGCGCTGTCTGAGGCTCGTGCGATGCTTGTTGTCGTCTGGCTGCTTTCACCTGCAGCACGAACACACACGTCACTTCCGGGAGGATTTCACAATAAAACGCTTTTAATAATAATAATAATAATTGTAAGAAAAGTACAAAATAAAATAATAAATTCTGATGTTATTTAGAAAATCTCAACATTATTTTTTTAAATGTCTTTGCAACCTCTAAGTGTTTAATGCATTACTTAATTACACCATATCTCTGTGTGTAATGACAACTAGTTTCTCTTAAAGGTCCCCTATCATCCTCCTCTTCATCAATATATCACAGGTCTCAGATATATCCAGAGCCTGTCTCTGATTGGCTGAAACACCAAACAGATCATTGCAGCATTACCCATAATCCCCTCTGTTTCAGCCCTGTTTCCAAAGTGCTGTTTCTCTGTCTGTTACAGAGGGGGTATTCAACTCAAACTCAACGAGGTCCAGTTAGAGAAAATGTCCCCATGCAAAGGTCCGGAACATCAAAATGTCTAAGTTGCTTTATGAATTAGTGTGATATATATTGAAGTAGCCTGTAGCTGTATCAACGTCTGCATGTCATCAACAACCGACTGCCAATCAAATAAAGAAAGTACAATTCAAAAACAACAATATTTATTGTCAATGAACATTGAACTATACAGATATACAGTACATACTGTGGATATGTGTAATGTTCCTCTCGGGCTGCATTTAAAAATAAAATAGAGAAATAAATAAAATAGCTTTGTTAACCGTTTCACATCATGACTTAACAGTTTCAGCCGATTATAGAACATATCAGTCTTTACACATCATAACAATTGAACAGTTTTAAAGTTTCTCTTTCTTTCCCTCTTATAGTCCCTCACTCACTTTCTTTAATTCAGTGCGAGAATTGAGCTGGAGTTTGTCCTGCCAGGAGTTTAAATCTGGGCTGAAATGGTGTCAGGGCCATTCTCGTATACACCTGCAGGTGCTCATTGGTTAGCCTCGGTTAGCCTTGGTTAGCCTCGGTTAGCCTGCCCTGGAACCATATTTAGTTTTAATTTCGGGCTCTGAGACTGCTTATTTTTTTGTGACCTCAGTTCTGACTTGAGAGGAATGTTTGGTCAAACACTTTGAGTTTTGTCTCATAGTGGCGTTTTGGCACTTTGAATGAGCTTCACGGTCTCTAAATGAGACACACTGGCTCTGTGCTCCCAGTGGGCCGGATGAACATGAATGAGTCCACTCAGGGTTAAAAGCTCTGTCCTCACTTTCCACTTTCCTCTTCTTGGAGAGCGCCATGTGTCATTATCTGTCTCTCCCTGTCTGCCGCTAAAGGCCCTGACACACCAGGCCGAAATCGTCCGTCTTCGTTAGTCGGACGACGAAGCGTGCCCTGTCGCCCAAACTCAATTTGGTGTCTCCCGAACCGTCGGCCATGACACGCCTTATTTGGCCTTTCATGGCCGACGCCGTGCGGACCAAGAAACCACTCTGATTGGCTGTTCAGCTAGCGAATGAGAAGCGAAACGGAAGTGGGACGTAAACAAACGATTTAAGAAGGCACAACACAGACGGCTATTCATTTTCATCTCATGGGTTTATTTGTCAGTATAAAGTTGCAGGATTAGTCTCAAGTACCTCAACATTGTCCTTAAGTCCAGTGTCTAAGTAAATGAGATCTACTGCTGTTCATTTACCTATTGTGAGTCGCCTCGGATAAAAGCATCACATGGAAATGTACATTTAGCAAGAAGTGGCCATTATGACATTACATACATTACTACATTGCTGACTCAATAAACGACACACCCTCCAGAACACTGCGATCATCAGACGCAGGTCTATTAACTGTGATGTGATAGCATGCACTTTATGTGCTCATTTCATCATTCATGTATTTTTATATTCTAAAACATGTTTTTGATGGACGAGAGTGAAAATGGAACGCACACGCTATTTGCTGTTTGTTTATATCAGTCTGTTCTTCTTCTCTGTCTTCCGGTTGTTGCCTATTTTGCCTATAACAGTGCATTACAAGACATCTATCAATATGTGTGTTCCTCCACCATTAAACATATTCTGCACATTTCTTATTCTATCTACATACATCTTATAAGAGTATAATTAATATGTATAATATCAGTTAAAATAAGTGCTTCAACATAGTTAACATTGCAGGAAAGTTGATTGTCAAGTTCCAAAACAAACCATGCAATATATTAGACGTTAAGTACTTTGTCAGGCTTAATATCTGTAGATACCCCCAAAGCTTTTTTCTTATTTAAAAGACGACCTTAACCTAAAGTATTCTTTAATGTTTGAATAAAGCCTTATTAGTTTGTCTGTTTTGCACATCCTCCTATCAGGCACTAAACTGTTTTATTGTAGAGATCACTTACAGTATCTTCTTGATATTTTATATTCTATATTTCTATCATTGACCTTCTACTTTCCCCGTATGAAAGTATGTACTCATAATATTTTTATGTTTTCATCAAATATAATGTATCAACAAAAAAATTCAATAACGTGCTTTCACCACTAGGCGG